TAGCCAGGGACCTAGAGAATGATAAAGATGGCCAGGAATAGAGGCATGCACATAAAAGGGTATCTAGATAGACAGCAACTTCCCCCTTTTTCCTTGTCTTGGGTCAATTGCCTTGCCTCTGTGTCTTTCACTATAAGGCATTTCACATGTGGTCACATTGGGTCCAGAAATGGCCTAGATGAGCATTGCTGGAGAGACAGACAGAAACTAGAGCAGCAGCAGTAGTGTGTGGACCGGTGCTGGTCCTTGGGAAAGTACAAATAAAGTCAGTGGCTCCTCAGTGAGCAAAATGTATTTTGACAAGTTAAAGAACTTCCCTTTATTCTCATTATATCTTTCTTATTTCTTCAGGGATAAAAATGCTTCTTTCTTTTTAATCCAGTGCTGGCAAGCATAGGTGGTTGGTGTCTTTTGGAATACATTTTCTCCCATTGTCATGATTTTGCCAAATTTAAGTTGGCAGCCCTATTTGACCCAACTTCTTTATGAAGTTGTGCTAGTCTGTGAAACCCAAAACTATGGACAACAACTGGGTTTAATGGTTTCTGGAGGTTCTTAACTATCTTGTGGTGTCAAGAACCTACTGGTAGAAAAGGGGAGCACAAATTCAGTGAAACATCCTCCGAGTCCCAGGCAAAGAGTGACAGGAGAACACTTTGAGAACCTGGTAGTTTATCCAACTGAGTAAGGCCAGTGATCTCCCTTGGCATCCTCCATCTACAAAACTCAGATATGTTGGTTTTGCTTGTTTATTCCTCAAAATTAATTCATTCTGTCTGGGGATCTGGCCTGTGACGGGAAAAATGCCCCAATCAGACTGAAAGTGAGCGCCCATGGGTCTGTGTGAGTGACTGTAGGGAGATGGTGAAGATGAAGGGAAAGGGCTCAGTCTCCACAGCACGGTGTAAAACACCCCTGGGCTTCCGTCTCTTTATGTGGCTCCTTCTAACCAGTCTGTGGGCTTCTAGGCCAGAGAGAGCAAGGATAACTGACTTTACTTTGTCTTGGCATCCTTCAAAACTAACAAAGTGACACAAAGGAGTAGCCCTGTAAAGGGTCATTGGATCCACCTTGCCCAGCATGTGAGGACTGAGCCCTGACTTCTAATGGAGCAGGACAAGAGATCCAGGTCTTCTCTCTGCAGTGCTCTCCTCCCACCTGCCCACCTCACCTGGCAGATCTGCCCACACAGTGGGAGGGACGTGCTCCGTGGGCTCTTGCACAGAGCACAGCTACAGGCGGGTGAAGCGAGGGAGCGTGAGGAAGGTACCTCCTCTTCTGTCGAGGACAACATAGGGTGTGCATTAGTTAGGGCTCTCCAGACAAACAGGACCACTAGGAGATACATGTATGTCCAGGTAAGCTGCTGGGAGATGTCAGGCCCCACCCACCAAGGCTGGGAAGAGGCAGCAGGCATTTGCTAAAGGCAGTTGTTCCAGGCTCTTCCATGTGTTTGCTGACCAAGAAGTCAACCGTTCGGAGCACCGCAATAGAGGAAACTCGGGCAGCCAACTATGGAGCTCAGACTGCATGAAGAGCTTTTTCTTCAGCTTCTACGTGAAGGTTAGGGCAGGATGGACTCCTGGATGGGGGACTCTTGGCTGTCCCACCATCAACTCTGCCCTGAACTGTAGTCATCGACTTCGCTCAGATCATGAGTAGGTTCAAGTAGTGGACTCACAACGTTTGAACTCAACTATTTTTTCTGTTACTTTGTCCATTTGCCAACAGCTAAAAACAAACTGGATCTTCAGCTTTATCCCCATTTCTTGAAAGGGAAGAGCCTTTATACAACCGGACATATTTTTTTTGGTTTCCCTCACTGAGAATTTTAACCCTCTTTTTTCTTCTTTCTACAACAATTTCTAAACATGCTTATTTTTACCTACTCTTTTCTCTACTTTCAGTAAAATAAAGATTAAAGATTCTTACCTACTGCTGGTTTAAAATATATATGTGTGTATGTATATATTTATATATACATATATACAAAATATATGTGTATATATATTTATAGATACATACCATATTATAAATATATATTACAAATATAGTATTTATATATAGTATACTACACACACACACACACACACACACACACACACACACACACAAAATGAAAGAGATTTATTCTCAGGAATTGGCTCACATGATCATGTAGGCCGAGGACCATAATCACGGGTCACTGTCCACAAGCTGCAGACCCAGGAGAGCCAATGCTGTAATTCCAGTCTGGGCCAAAGGCCCGAGAGCTGGAGGGACAATGCCATAGGCTGAGGTCCAAGTCTGAGGGCCCGAGAACCAGGAAGGCCGATGTACA